TCTAAATTTAACCTTGAAGACAATATTTCACTCTGCAGTATTTTTTGGTGAAAACTCTCCTAGTCCACTGCATCATTACTAACAGGTTGTTACTACTATATGTCTTATCAAGCTACTGAAATATAGGAAACTACAAAAAAATGGATTGAAAAAGAAAAAAAGAGTATCTAAAAATATCTAAATAGATAACAAGAAAATGAAAAAGAAAAATTTGAAAAAAAGATTTCTAGCATTCTTCAAAAACCTATTTTTCAAAACCTCTTTTCAATAAAAAATATCTAATTGAAATATCCTTTCTTTTCCTGACCTTCTAAGGAACTTGTCTATTCTTAATTTTAATTTTTTTTTATGTATTATTTAAGAAAACTTATCACCTAGTGGGAGCCTTTAATTTCAAAACACACTTGGTCCTAACTTTCTTTAAACAACAATTTTTATCTGCCTGCAATAGAAGGATAACTTATAATGAACCCCAGGTTCTTATATAACCTAGTAGAGACTGGGTCATATTGTTTCAGTATAATATCTTTCAGTAGCTATGTCTAGTTAAAGAAATTTTACTAGTATATATCTTCCATTATCCAAAAGGTTAGATTTCTCAAAAATCTTTTTGTTTTATAATGATAAAAGGTTTTAAAAAATATAAAGATTCTCATCAATTGTAATGTCCTTTAATAATTTCTGAAAAAATATATTTTCAACTATAATCAAAGGGTTGGAGCTTAGCATAAACTAAAAACCATTTAGTCTTATTACTTAATTAGGATAAGAGGAAAATCTTGATCTTAAATTTTATCTAACTAGGATAATAAGAGAGAAAGACCTTAGTTTAAACAAATAGTAACTTTTTTATCATTTGAGAACTTGTTATAATATCTTATTGGTCTCATGAAACTTGATCTGTAGGTTAATCCAATTAATAAAGTGAAATTGATATAAAGTATCAATTAACTTTTTCAATTATAAATGACATTATCAGAACATGTGAGTTGACCAATAGAAGCTTATTTACATTCAGCTATTAATATGTTTCATATCAACCAATCAGATGCCAGGTAATATTGTGCTATCAAAAATTTAGAGTTAAACTGAAATAAGTAAAATCCTTCAAGAAAACTATGAAAAACAGTAGACACTTTAAAAGAGTATAAGACAGTATATAAGAAGGTGAATAATAAACCTTCTTTTGTTAACAGAATCTTTATTTCTTGTTGCTTTCAACTTTGTGAGGTGACACTTCACTTGTCGATCCTTTTACTTCCTAAAATCTTTTTGTCTTTAGTAGAGAAAATATGTACTTAAGTCTTTTCAGGTCACTAAAGGTTCAAGTTTTTATTCAAAGGAGTTTATAAACAAGTAAAAGAAGATAGGAAAGATAAATGAAGACAAGCTTCAAGTTGTTTTAATGAAAATATAAAGACTTTATTAGCAAGGAAGTATAAAACTTCTTGTGAATATCTTTTTTGTATGTAATCAGAAAATCAGCGAAAAGAGTTTTTACTAATAAACTATATTATTTAAACTATAATATATTTTTAATTTAAAACTAAATTAATTTAAAATAATAATAATAATAAATTATTATTTAATAAATAAATAAAATAAAATAAAAATTTTATTAATAATTATTATAAAAAAATAATTAAAAAATCTTATATTTTTATATTTGAATAGTAATATAGATTAAAAAAATTTTTTATTAAAAAATTATATTATTCAAGAAATATATTAACAAATTAATCTTTTTATTTACTTTTTTTTTATCATTTGCAAAAGTTACATGATCCTGATTCTTTTGTCTTTTCTATTTCAAAATATCAAACCTAATAATAATATTTGAACTTTGATACACCGGCTTTCTTAATTTTTCAGAGAAAATCAAATCTTAATTTATTGAAGATAAATAATAGATAAATACAAAATAGTTTTATAAAATAGCTCATGATACTTTCGATGAAGTGAATCATGTATTCTATATTTAGTGTCTTTTTGTTTTCAATTAAGTTGACTAAATTTACTATTTTTTAAAAATTCAAGTTATAATTATAAAATTATTAAATACATAATTATTATTCGATCATTTGTCCAATTTAGTTGGCAACTATAGTTACACACTAGCAAAAAAAAAAAAATAATAATAATAAACAACTTAACATGGATCATGTATATCTCTATTTGATTATACAGTATTAACCATTTAGAAACAAAAGTATAAAAAAAAAGTTTAATTAAAAATATGATTGATAAGATTTATAATTGTTTGATGTATTCTCGTTAATTTTACAGCGTGTTTGTAAAAATCATTTCTCATTGTAAAGTGTCAACGTTCTTATCATTACTATAATACTTTTCTTTCATAATTTGCTTTGAAACTAGTAATACAGGAAACCCCTTGGAATTAACGACAATGATAAAAATGTAAGACATTTTATATAAAGAAACAAAAAGAAGTACAATATATAAACATATTTATAATTAATATCCTTTCATATGGTTCTATTGTGTAAGAGTTTACTTTTTTTATACACATTCTTGAATACTTGCAGAAAGATGGGGACCACATTAAAAGGAATGAAAAGGTGTGGAATAAAGTCTTTATGAGGGGAGAGAGCATTATAGGGTAGAATTGCATGTAAAGGGCAAAATAAATTATGTCGTAAACCGAATCAATATGATATATAGTAAATCATTCCATTAATGATTTTCAGTGGTCGGGACGAAATCGAATTACACACATTTAGAATAATGTGAAAAAGTAAGTTATTCGATGTCACATGTTTGAGAAGAGCACAAGCAAGATAAACAATTCCGTACATACTATGAAAAAACAGTTGCAACAAGGATTAAGTAAAGTCATTTAATGCCACGCTCTAAGCAAAAATAATTACGCCTTCATCATGACGTGACTCCGGAAATCTTCTAATCAACCCTGTGTAATGGATAGTGACCACCTTGTGTGAAACCTGACACAGGGCCTCCTAATTGATGATGGGGACCTGCGCTACCAGGTGTCGTCGGATATTGATGATTTAGTTGTTGTAGTTGTGCAGGATTTGCGCTTAAACCAGCCAAAGTTCCAGCATTTAATCCGCTCACGCCTGCAGAAGGTATATTCCCTAGGCTCATAAGACTTGCCATGTTGATCGAATTTGCTGCAGCGAGGTTTTGCTGCGCTACTGCCTGTTGTTGTAAGCCAGAAGGTGCTAACGATCCAAGATTCGTGGATGAGGAAGAGCCTCCCATACTATTTAGAATTGTAGTTGGTCGTTCCTCTAATAATTCGTACACTAGATAGATTTCTTTTTTAACTTTTTCCCAAGTTGATGGATCAAAAAATATGTAACTTCCACGTTCGAAGGTCTGCGTCTTCGTAAATGGTTCTGTGCCTTGTTCCTTTGTCAACCAGACTCGAAGTTCTTTATGATATCGCCAATTGCGATTATATCTAAGAGAGGAACGCGTTAGAATGTTCGAAAGGAAAGGACCAGATACGACTTAACATCCACGAAGACGATCATTCGATGTCGAATCTACACTCACAATTCCTGAGCGGCAGCCTCCTGTAGTATGTCTCGCGGCATGCTATAGAAAATATAGAATAGCGTCTCGTCAGAAAATGTACCTATCTTGGATTGCGCAGGTGGTGGCTGTTGCACGTTGTAACAGGACGGTAGGTGATACTCGGGTTCAATTAGTCCGGCTGCTTGATTGTTTTCTGCCCATGGTGAGGTAAATGTTGCGTAAAGCGCGCTGGGTTATTTAAAAAAAAAAAAGAATGGTATGGTCAAAAAAGTTCTGAAATTCGTCCACCTCAGATCCTTCCATACATACTCGGGTGAATTCAAGTTTAGCCCCAACGTTGTAAGATCGTTCCCCAATGCTAACATACTCAGATCAGGATCCGTCATCCGTATTACTTTTAATAACCCGAGTAACCCAAATCGATCGGCTGAATTTCCACCAGAAGGTGATGAAGGATTTAACGACGACCAGCCTCCCCCAGATGATTGCAAACTCGGTATGCCTGACGAAGACGGATAGGGTGTGCCCGTCAAAGACGTAGAGTATGGCGTTGATGGAGTGAGAGGGCCAGTTAATGAATACGGCGTCATCGAAGACGATGAAAGAGGAAAGATTTGTACGCTACCTCCGGCTTTTGTGGAGTAGTTCTATGAAAAGCCGAAACCGACGCGATACAAATGTGATTCAGTATCATTATTGGAACGAAAAAAAATTTCCAAGTTTTTTCATTTAAAGGTCATATGTGGATGGTTTTATTAATTATACATAGACCAAGTTAAATTAAATCGCACGATATCTGTGTGTAGTACACACACCTTTTTGTCCTGTTCGGACACAGAATTCACTGGTGGTTGTGTCGGTGGTCTTAGTCCGCCTGAGATCACATCAAAGGAGCAAAATCTTAATTCTCATGTTTCTGGGCATTCCCAGAATCAAAGTTTTGCCAATTTCAACCCGAATGCCCCCAGAAAAAAAAAAAAAGAAAGAAAGAAAGAAAAACTTTAAAAACATACCGACATTAATTCGTCCATCCTGAACTCCTGAAGATGAAATTTCCGTCGACATGTTGCTCCCGTTTGTTAGACCGTCAACATTGTTTTGTTGTTGGTGGTTGAGATGGTGTTGCGACACCGTTGACTGTGAACCAACGACGCCACGGGTTGTGTTGCTTGTTGCTCCAGGCAAAGCCGGAAAATCGTCAATTGTAAACTCCTGCGATTGCTGTTGATTCATAGATCGGTTGTCATTCGACACGGAATTGGTTCCTGTTTGAGCGGTGTTTGCATAGCTTGATCCCAGACCACTCGCTGACGCACTATTGGACGTCGTATTGGTACTACCCAAAGCTGGGAATTCAGACATATCAAATACGTCATTCTGCTGGGAGTGTACGCTATGTATTGCATTCGGGTATGATGTAAAGGTCTGCTGTCGCGACGAAATGCTTTGAGATGTTAATGAGGAACCTGGGGTATAATTCCATGAAGCCACATTTGATGCTAGATGTAACAGAAATACAATGAATTAATAAAACTCTTTATATCTTTGACCTCGTATCACCCTGTCCGGGCATCGGTGTAGGCACCATTGATCGTTGAACAAGAAGATCAAGGGTTGAAAAGCTGCCAAGCAACCAAGGAAAATCTCAATAAAATACCAATCCTCCCATTGACTCTTCCTATCAACGGATTTCCCCCAACAGTCCTTTGAGGCATCGTGGTTTGAGGGTACGCGGAATTAATGGGGCCCAGGCTTCATGCCCAACTTGGGAAC